GTCGACCTTCTCTTGGCGTTTTGGAGATTTAGATCGCAAAAGGTTCAAATACGTATCACAGCACATGGAAATGCGGTTCCAGAGACATGTCTGACTTCAGTCAGAAGAGGAGAACCTCTAAATATTTTCCCAATTGCTCTCCTGGAACTGAATTTCTAGCTCACTGGCCACGCCCAGGGCTGCTCAGCAAACACATTTATTTCCACGCTTCCTGGCTCTCATCAGCCACATTGCATCACGGTCGCCCCGGTCTTCAACACTGAGGGGAACAACTCCGCGTCCCACATCTCTGCCCCAGCTCACATCACCCCCTTCTCTGCTGTTTTCCCTTCTAGAGGCCCCGCCGCCTTACTCCCTGGTACTTCGCCCCTGTGGGTCTTAGTTTCTTCTCTGGATTGAGAGAGCTCAGCACTGCGTGCGGAGCCTAGGGCTGGGAGGCAGCTGGACCTGCTTGAAGTAAACAGCGGGCGCACGCTAGGTGCTCAAGGCATAAAGGGTACTGTCATCATCCTTCCTGGGAACTGAATCCAAGTCTCTAAATGGTAACCTATTTTATATCCATTCACATTCACTGGCTGCTGAGGCAAAATTAATGGAAGGAGTGATGGTCTCTAGACTCCAGTAAAGGCAAGCAGACTAGCTAGAATAACGCAACAGATTACGTCTATCGCCGCGAGGCTTGCCTTGTTCTGAGGAGCTACGGGGCCTGGCCTTGGGGTGGCCGACGCTCACTCGCCAACGAGCCACACCTCTGAAATTGCTGCTTTTGAACTTTGAGCCTAGGGTGGGGGTGGTGGGGGGAAACGCACCACTGCCATGCAGGCAGCACATACATTTCTCAAGTGCAAAACACTGTGAACAGCCGCTCGGGCTGATGAAAGGTGTGACTGATTCTGCTCAGGCTCAGAGCGGCTGTTGTCCGCCTAAAGGAGCGCTTTGGGCCTCAGGCAATGCGAGGCAGCCACTGTTCATAGAGGAAGTGACTAAACTCAATGTGAGTTGCTTTAAAATGGGAGCGGAAGGGGAAAAAAGTGGTTAGAGAGGGAGGGAGCCAAAACATAAGAGACTCTTAAAAACTGAGAACAAACTGAGGGTTTATGGGGGGTGGGAGGGAGGGGTGGGTGGGTGATGGGCATTGAGGACGGCACCTGTTGGGATGAGCACTGGGTGTTGTATGGAAACCAATTTGACAATAAATTTCTTATTAAAAAAAATGCAACATCCGGTCCTATTGTCTCAAAGCGTGGGTGTCTCCACCTTTCTGATACTGGCTCCCAATGGCTTGGAGGAACCAGTGTAGAAGCCGCCTTTCTTCCCAGACTCTGGGCACAGCGCTGAGCAGGGGCGGGGGTGACAGATACAGCAGTGGAGGTGCCTGTGACGTCATTCTTGTCCCTGCCATGACTTCAGGCAAACACCACCCATCTTGTATTGAAATCTGAACCACGAGACCCAGAGTTGAAGGTTAGTTTGATCGAGTGCTCTAGAGTGGGGGGAGAAGAGTGTTCTGGTAAGCTGATTTCATTGTCGTGGACTCGAGCTATCTAGGCATTAAGGAAAATATTCTCTGGCATCAGACTCGAGCTTCAGGGAGAGGGGAGCTGGGCAGCAGAGAGTATAACGTGCTAGAGTCATGGGACGTCTGGGTTGGAGGAGAACTGAACATGTCGTCTATATTGATTCTGAGGAAGAACATTATTCTTTGTCCATCCAAACATACTATGCAATGAACGTAATGAAAGGCCACAGGTCTGGAGAAGAACCATGAGAAAAAGGAAATAGATGCTCAATTCAAAACCGTTGGTTCCTGGGACCCATTGTCTACACGTGGCCGGCGTCACCTGCTGATGGGGGACGTTCTGGTACATGGCAGGCAGCAGCTGTAGCTGCTGGGAGCCTGGGGATTATTAACACACAGGCTCTGAAGGGTTGTGGTTCCGTCAGCGACATGTGTTTGTGGTTTGCAGACAACCGGACAAAGATTTTGAATTCTCACATGTAAATAAAGACGTGTAAGATGTACATATGGAACCCATCCAGTGGGGACTGGTTAGTGACAGCGTGTCTGAATCTATCAGAAATTCTCTCTTTTGCTCTACTCTCTGAGAAACTTCAGTCTGAAGCGAGAGCAGCACCTCGGTCCGAACTAAACAAATGAATCTCTCGCTCATCTGGGAGGTGGTGGGATGATTTGTGTTTTTTTTTTTTTTTTTTTTCTCTCCCTGCAAGAGCGGTGCTATTTCTGAATCCTTAAAGGCCTGCACACACAAAGAGGATAGATGCTCATTTAGCGACTTCCAAACAGTGTCGGGTTCAGTGCAGCAGATCGGCTTTCAAAGTGGGAGAGAAAAAACATCCCCCCACACATGCGTCTAGTTCCCGGGGAGGTAATTCAAGCCAGTTTAAGTGACAGAAAGGGAGGCTACAGATTGGAAGGTTATCAGCGGTTTTCACTGTGGGAAGGTGTGCGAAAACACTCCTCACCCCGACAGGCTGTTAAAAGGATCAAAGAAAACAATGTGCGTGGAAAAATCCTTTTCAACTAGAAAACGTCATCCTAACAGTGTCAGGTTTCACCACGGTTCCTGTTCCTGTGGGCTTGCAACGTTCATCCTAGAAATTGATGAAGGGCCTGTTTTGTGCCAGGCAGTCCTTGGCGAACAAGACCTAATTTTTTCCCTAGAGACTTCATTCAGTTTAGAAAGACATATAATAGAAGGAATGTCATGACTCAGTCAATTTAAAGACATATGATATAAGGAACGTCATGACTCAGGCAATTCAAAGATGCCACTAAGATGTCTAGACAGCCCAGTGGGATAGTGAGTGCGTGTGGCAATCTCACTTTGCAGCTTCTCCAAGTTTTCCTTGGGACAGCCATGGTGGCTCTCGGCTCTGACACCATGCAGTCAGAATAGATGCAGCTAAGCAAAGCATTCCTCAGAGGGGCTTGCCTCCAAGTTGACTTGCCGTGTCTTTCTGAGTCATTCTCTCCACTTTCCCCCCACTGGTTCTGCCAACCCTCTAGGGTGGGGAGGCGGGAGGGGGGGCACCGCAGGCGAGGCTCGGGGTGAGTTTTGCCATGGGGCCCTGAACGTCTCCGGCAACTGAAGAAAAGTTGCTCTTCTCCCTTTTCCCGTCTTTAACCCAAGGCGTTTGTTCCTTTGTATCTACGTCCCCGTTCATGAAATTCTTCACATCCTAGCAAGTCGTGGGTTGCATCTAAGGGAACTCAAAGAGTCGTTTCTAAAGTGCGTAGAGGAAGGACATCCAGCCCTTGTGAGGAGCAGGATGGAGGCTGAAACCAGCGTTCCAGTGATCAAGGGAAGTCCGGGGCATCATGAGAAAATTAATGGAATTTTGAGATATAACGATCTGGATGCCTCTGGGGTCTCAGCATTTATTAGTTGGCCAGGAGGCTGGGTCTACACGGTAGCTGGGAGGGTTGAAGGGGACAGATCATAGCCGGTGGCAATACCGGGTATATATTATCTCAGTCCTCACAAAATTAGGGCGGGTGTCCATCCTGCCCAGGGAGGCCCGCTCTGGGCTGACTCCTCTTTACCCCCTCTCTCCTGAACATGCTCCTCTGGGCCACCCAGTATCCTGCAACCCTGATGGCTCCTTTGGAGCCTAAGGGGAAATCTTGCCAATGTGGTGATGGATTAACTGACTATTAGTTTGTGGCTTGCTCTTTCAGATAATTTATTTGCAATGTAACTGGCTCCGAATGCCTTGCCACAAGGGAGGCGGATTTCATGGTGGGGGTGGCCTCTGTCGGCCGACTCGGGCCGGGAAGATTGGGGAAAGCCCCATTTCTCAGGTCACAGTGGGCAGGCTCCTACCTCCTTCTCTCTCTCAGTGGGGCCCAGTCATCTTTTGGACCCTCATCCTCTCTTTGGAAACAATTCTGGGCATCTGGTTGCCCTTTGCAAAAGCACCTTTGGAGTCAAGGAATTTTTAGGGCTCAAAACAACCTCAAAGATCTTTTGGTGGCTTTCGGGAGTTTAAGGACTCCTGGAAATTCTCTGTAAACTTTTGTTTAAACACACCAAAGACAGGGTCTATAGCTTTCATGAGATTCTTAAAAACCTCAGAGATCCAGAAAAGATGGCTAGACTTGAGACCCTGTAGAGAAAGAGACTTTCTAGAGATGTCACAGTGGACGAGGAGGAAGGCTGGGGGAGGAGGGGAGGGAGGGAGAGGACACGTCAGCACAGAGACACAACCTCAAGCTTCTTGTTGCCCCATCAGGGTTTCCACGCTGTGCCACCACGCACGGGCTTTAGGTCTTTGCCTTTGGGACCTGTCACAGTTCCAGCCTATGTCCTAGTCATGCCTGTGCACCTGCCACGGTGGGGTAAGAACTGCTTTATGGAGGCAGCTGTGGGGAGTTGGAGGAGGCCCCTGCTCCATCATGTGGAATCTGGATTTTCTAGTCACCATAACTTTGGACAGAAAAATGTTAAGCCTTTGGAACTGCCCATCCTCAGAGCCACGCAGGCATCTGTGGAGGAACTCTGGCTGCAGAAGAGAGCATAACCCGCAAGGCTGCCCTTTCTGGCATCACACCACAGAGAGAGAAATCACTTGAGTGAGCCACCCTTCAAATGTTGCCACTTTGGGATCCATTTGTCCAAGGCGGAAATGCCTGGCTTGTTTGCACACCCAGGAACTTGGGACAAGTTCTAGAGGTGACATCCCCATGAAACAGCTGGGTGACTTCGGACAAGTGACTTCCTTGTCCTATCGTTCTGTCTGTTTTCTTTCCTGCCAAAAGAGGGGTGTGGGCGCATTGGGTTGGCGACCCGTAAGGTCCCTCCCTGCTTGGATATTATTCTAGCCTTTTCCTTAATTTTATTTGTTCATTTCCTTCTATTTGCTGGCTGTTGCATTCTAAGCTTGTCTGTGACCGCCCAGGCTTATCTGAAGCCAGAAACATGGACCAGAGCACCCCCCAAGCTCCCCTCTGGACTCCAGGCTCCTTCCGCCAGGCTCACCAGCAGGAATATGGACATCTCTTGCTGTAGCGACAGCAGTAAAACTGCCATTCCCGATCCAGCACGGACTCAAAATAGCGGCTCTGGAACCCCGCCACCAGCCCATTGTTGGAGCACGTCTGGTACCTGAAGAGAAGAGAACAATCCAAAGTGAACTAACGACAGAGACACCCAAGACCCCGGCTGCCACCGTTACCAAGCCAGGCCATGCTTTGACTGACCTAGATTCCCAACACCGTATTCCATTTGTATGCAAACAGTCAAGACTTCGTTATATTTGTAGAAATCACATTACGCTCACCGTTAAAATTCACATGATTCAGAATCTTTCAGCTGAAGGAAACTTGGGGGAACACTGTTCCCGACAGACTTCTACGAATGTGGAGTTGGATAGAAGAGAGTGTGAATGGATGGAGGCACTTACCCAGGAGTCTTCCTACCTCCCGCTAAACCATAAGCTCTACCTGGTCAGAGCAGATTTGGGTCAGATTTATCCCCAGTGCCCACGGTGGGTCCTGGTATATGGAGGCACCGCCACAGGGTGGTGACAGGCCAACTGGGCCTCAAACTGGGCCTCAAACTCCCTGGACGAGCATTTTTCCTGCCTGAGACACTGCGTTCTAATTCTTCACAGAAGGCAACCCCTCCTTTCTGGTCCACAGACCCTCCCCTCGACAGCGGGCGTGGTCACCCTTTCCTTGTCGCTGGGCCCTCACTCTGGGGATCGGCCCCTTTTCCCTTCACAGCGCCTTCCTCACTAACTGTTGGTTTTGGACAGTATGTGATCATTTCTTCCTTTGTCCCACCTCCTTTGCCCCACTTCCTCTC